ATGCTATATTATACGATATGATATAGTATGATGCTATATGATACAGTATGATACGGTATGATATTGTATGATGCTATATGATACAGTATGATACGGTATGATATTGTATGATACTATATGATGCTATATTATACGATATGATATAGTATGATGCTATATGATACGATATGATACAGTATGATATAGTATGATGCTATATGATACAGTATGATACGGTATGATATTGTATGATGCTATATGATACAGTATGATATAGTATGATGCTATTTGATACAGTATGATACGGTATGATATAGTATGATGCTATATGATACAGTATGATACGGTATGATGTTGTATGATACTATATGATGCTATATTATACGATATGATATAATATTATGCTATTTGATACGATATGATACAGTATGATATAGTATGATGCTATATGATACAGTATGATGCGGTATGATACGGTACGATACTTTATGATGCAATATGATGCGGTGTGATACGGTATGATATAGTATGATACGGTATGATATTGTATAATACTATATGATGCTATATTATACGATATGAATAATATGACTATTGATACGATATGATACAGTATGATATAGTATGATGCTATATGATACGATATGATACAGTATGATATAATATGATGCTATATGATACAGTATGATACGGTATGATATTGTATGATACTATATGATGCTATATTATACGATATGATATAGTATGATGCTATATGATACGATATGATACAGTATGATATAGTATGATGCTATATGATACAGTATGATACGGTATGATATTGTATGATACTATATGATACAGTATGATACGGTATGATATTGTATGATACTATATGATGCTATATTAACGATATGATATAGTATGATGCTATATGATACAGTATGATACGGTATGATATTGTATGATGCTATATGATACAGTATGATACGGTATGATATTGTATGATACTATATGATGCTATATTATACGATATGATATAGTATGATGCTATATGATACAGTATGATATAGTATGATGCTATATGATACAGTATGATACGGTATGATATTGTATGATACTATATGATGCTATATTATACGATATGATATAATATGATGCTATATGATACGATATGATACAGTATGATATAGTATGATGCTATATGATACAGTATGATACGGTATGATATTGTATGATACTATATGATGCTATATTTACGATATGATATAATATGATGCTATATGATACGATATGATACAGTATGATAGTATGATGCTATATGATACAGTATGATACGGTATGATATTGTATGATACTATATGATGCTATATTATACGATATGATATAATATGATGCTATATGATACGATATGATACAGTATGATATAGTATGATGCTATATGATACAGTATGATACGGTATGATATTGTATGATACTATATGATGCTATATCATACGATATGATATAATATGATGCTATAAGATACGATATGATACAGTATAATATAATATTATGCTATATGATACGATATGATACAGTATGATATAGTATGATGCTATATGATACAGTATGATACGGTATGACATTGTATGATACTATATGATGCTATATTATATGATATGATATAACATTATGCTATTTGATACGGTATGATACAGTATGATATAGTACGATATGATACAGTATGATGCGGTATGATACGGTACGATACTTTATGATGCAATATGATGCGGTGTGATACGGTATGATATAGTATGATACGGTATGATATTGTATATATATATGATGCTATATTATATATGATATAATATGATGCTATATGATACGATATGATACAGTATGATATAGTATGATGCTATATGATACGATATGATACAGTATGATATAATATGATGCTATATGATACAGTATGATACGGTATGATATTGTATGATACTATATGATGCTATATTATACGATATGATATAGTATGATGCTATATGATACGATATGATACAGTATGATTAGTATGATGCTATATGATACAGTATGATACGGTATGATATTGTATGATACTAATGATACAGTATGATACGGTATGATATTGTATGATACTATAATGCTATATTATACGATATGATATAGTATGATGCTATATGATACAGTATGATACGGTATGATATTGTATGATGCTATATGATACAGTATGATACGGATGATATTGTATGATACTATATGATGCTATATTATACGATATGATATAGTATGATGCTATATGATACAGTATGATACGGTATGATATTGTATGATACTATATGATACAGTATGATACGGTATGATATTGTATGATACTATATGATGCTATATTATACGATTGATATAGTATGATGCTATATGATACGATATGATACAGTATGATATAGTATGATGCTATATGATACAGTATGATACGGTATGATATTGTATGATACTATATGATACAGTATTACGGTATGATATTGTATGATACTATATGATGCTATATTATACGATATGATATAGTATGATGCTATATGATACAGTATGATACGGTATGATATTGTATGATGCTATATGATACAGTATGATACGGTATGATATTGTATGATACTATATGATGCTATATTATACGATATGATATAGTATGATGCTATATGATACGATATGATACAGTATGATATAGTATGATGCTATATGATACAGTATGATATAGTATGATGCTATATGATACAGTATGATACGGTATGATATGTATGACTATATGATGCTATATTATACGATATGATATAATATGATGCTATATGATACGATATGATACAGTATGATATAGTATGATGCTATATGATACAGTATGATACGGTATGATATTGTATGATACTATATGATGCTATATTATACGATATGATATAATATGATGCTATAGATACGATATGAACAGTATGATATAGTATGATGCTATATGATACAGTATGATACGGTATGATATTGTATGATACTATATGATGCTATATTATACGATATGATATAATATGATGCTATATGATACGATATGATACAGTGGGATATAGTATGATGCTATATGATACAGTATGATACGGTATGATATTGTATGATACTATATGATGCTATATCATACGATATGATATAATATGATGCTATATGATACGATATGATACAGTATAATATATATTATGCTAATGATACGATATGATACAGTATGATATAGTATGATGCTATATGATACAGTATGATACGGTATGACATTGTATGATACTATATGATGCTATATTATATGATATGATATAACATTATGCTATTTGATACGGTATGATACAGTATGATATAGTACGATATGATACAGTATGATATAGTATGATGCTATATGATACAGTATGATACGGTATGATATTGTATGATACTATATGATGCTATATCATACGATATGATATAATATGATGCTATATGATACGATATGATACAGTATGATATAATATTATGCTATATGATACGATATGATACAGTATGATATAGTATGATGCTATATGATACAGTATGATACGGTATGACATTGTATGATACTATATGATGCTATATTATATGATATGATATAACATTATGCTATTTGATACGGTATGATACAGTATGATATAGTATGATGCTATATGATGCTATATTATACGATATGATATAATATGATGCTATATGATACGATATGATACAGTATGATACGGTATGATATTGTATGATACTATATGATGCTATATGATACGATATGATACAGTATGATATAGTATGATGCTATATGATATGATATGATACAGTATGATATAATATGATGCTATATGATACGATATGATACAGTATGATATAGTATGATGCTATATGATACAGTATGATACGGTATGATATTGTATGATACTATATGATGCTATATTATATGATATGATATACTATTTTGCTATTTGATATGATATGATACAGTATGATATAGTATGATGCTATATTATACGATATGATACAGTATGATATAGTATGATGCTATATGATACGATATGATACAGTATGATATAATATGATGCTATATGATACGATATGATACAGTATGATACGGTATGATATTGTATGATACTATATGATACAGTATGATACGGTACGATATTGTATGATACTATATGATGCTATATGATACGATATGATACAGTATGATATAGTATGATGCTATATGATACAGTATGATACGGTATGATATAGTATGATACTATATGATACAGTATGATACGGTATGATATTGTATGATACTATATGATGCTATATTATACGATATGATATAGTATGATGCTATATGATACAGTATGATACGGTATGATATTGTATGATGCTATATGATACAGTATGATACGGTATGATATTGTATGATACTATATGATGCTATATTATACGATATGATATAGTATGATGCTATATGATACGATATGATACAGTATGATATAGTATGATGCTATATGATACAGTATGATACGGTATGATATTGTATGATACTATATTATGCTATATTATACGATATGATATATAGATGCTATATGATACGATATGATACAGTATGATATAGTATGATGCTATATGATACAGTATGATACGGTATGATATTGTATGATACTATATGATGCTATATTATACGATATGATATAATATGATGCTATAGATACGATATGATACAGTATGATATAATATGATGCACTATGATACAATTTGATACAGTATGATATAGTATGATGCAATATGATACAGTGTGACACGGTATGATACGGTATGATATAGTACGATACTATATGATGCAGTATGATACGGTGTGATATAGTATGATGCTTAATGATATGATATGATACAATAGATGTTTAAAAAAGGGTGTCGCATGTATATTGGTGTATACTGAACATGGAATTATTACCTGAAAAACCGAATCCGGAAGAACGTAGATAAAAACATCGTTAGGAATCATATGATTGAATGTGTTTGTCTGTTTGAGCTTATTCACCAGGGTTTAGTCAAAATTTAACCTTAATTTTTGGCTTCAGTGAAAAAACTCGGTATGTCTTCAATTGTGACAAGTATTCTCAGTTCAACACTTGGTTTATTATGGAATAAGGTCAGAGACTCGGCGGCAGACAAACTCAAAGACGGCGATGTAACCGATGCAGAAATTCGTAAGATTGTCGTACGAGAGTTAAATGACATCAAGTCTAAAATCGATGGGCTTTCCCGATCAACTTTACTCGCCAGTTATAATTTCCTAGAAGAAGGAGTAGAGTTACTCAGTGTTTCTCTTGATAAATCAAATCCCGAGCAGAAAGCGAGCGAAACACAGGACGAACCACGTGAACATTCGAGCGTTATTCAGTCTGGTATCTTAAACCAAGCAATAGAGCTTCCTCTCGCCATGGAAAAGCTTAAAATCAACTCCGACAGAGAGTTTGAAACTGCGAGGGAAAGATTCAAAGATGCTCGCAAAACAGCAACCACTACTTTCTGGAATGAGGCATTTAGTATCGAAGATCGAATTTTTGCCGCGAAGCTACGAATAGTTTCAGAAATACTGGAACATCTCGATAGTCCTGAGACCGCAATCACTGGGTGTTTGTCGTTTTTGAAGAAGCTGCATAGCTTACCAGCCATTCAAGAGATATTCTCGGTGTATTTGAACGGTGGAGTCAAATCGGTGTTGAATAAAACTCAACGATTGGAGAACGTCAAGTCGGTTATGTTAATCAACTATGTGTTGTTTCAATATGTTTGGAAATTCAGCAGCAAGTATTCGTTTGAAGTGTTCGCCTGCATCCCAACGATTGAACTTCCTGATCGTAGTTTTCACCCAATAAGAAATTGGAACGAAATTTCAACAAGAAAGTCTATGGGAGAGGAATTGCCTCTTCCTCCAAACGAACAGTTCCTTGATGAAAAAATAATACCCTACATATCTGCTGTGAACAGTCAGGGGGATGTTCTTACTGTCCCTGTTACTGGGTCTCCTGACAACATCATGATTATCCATGAGACAAGAAAAATCAAACGGGTTGAAGTACCTGAATTTGCAGGTTATTTTTTAGTGTCGCTTGCTGTTGATATGAATAACAATGTTTACGTGGTGAGAAGCCGTTCAGATGAAGTATTCATGTTGACGATATTGGACGTGAATTACAATGTAAAAGCAAATCATTCATTGGATTTTCTCGAGTACAAGATTTTATTAGATTCTAGTTAAGATCGCGATATGCAAAGACGATGATATTATCATCATCCAACACGAAGACCCTCATGTGTATGTTTGTGACAAGACGGGTCAATTGAAATACAAGTTTAAACGCGACTCGAGTTTGGCATTTTCATTGAGTATTTCCCAGCAGAATGAAATCATGATACCAACAGACGATGATAAGGCGGTTCAAATATACACCAAGGAAGGGAATCAGAATGCAACAATAAAAGTCCCAGAAGGTCATAAGGTATGCAGCGTGGCATTTCACTACGAAATTTGTAAAATATTGGTTTTAACCAGAGTTGATGAGAAAGATTCCTATTTCATTCTGTGCTGCCCTGAAGCAGGCGGGGAGCTGGAGACTCTTACCTTCTTTTGTAAAGATGAAAAATGGCTCACTCCCAAACTGGTATCCCATCCCAAGGGCCCTGGTGTTGTTGTAAGAGACAGAAGCATCATTTACCTTTAATGAGATTTAGTATGAACAAATGTTTCCTGCATAAAACACAGTAAATACTTGTCTGAAATAGTGCAACTTTGAGTTAACTAAAGCAAACAATAGATGCAGCATGGTTTATATAATTTGTGAGACTTTGCTGAATTACGTCCCATTAAAGTGTCCCAGTTTCTGTTGTAAGAGAGACAAGTGTAACTTATATTTAAATAATTTAAATAATAATGTTTTGTGACATTTGCCAACATGGACAATAAGCTTTTAATGACATTTAAAAGTGTATGAATCCTATTTCTTATGATATAATATAGTGAAAACTTTCTCTGCTCTTGTAATAAATGATCAAGTTCTTTTAAAACATAATAAACTTATGAAACCACCCCTGGCTAGGCTTAGAGCTATGAATCATATTATTAGTGGGTATATTGATGGCTTCTATCTTCAGGGTGATACATATGCTAAGTGTGCTACAAATGCTCTTGACACAGTTGAAACATTTGACTGCCTAGGTCTAGTTATCCATCCTGATAAGTCCACTCCTTCCCCTTCTCAAGAGGTAATTATCCTAGGATTTGTCATTAACTGGATAACAATGACTATCCAAGTCACAAATGAAAAAAGAGGAAAAATTTTGTTTGTTGATATTGAATGTCCAGTGTCTCAAGTTTATTCTCTTTGTAACATATACGTATATTTATATATTTATTCCCTAAACTCACTCCAACAAATTACAACCTTTTCACTTCAAGTCTCTGTCCTTCACACCCACCTATCAATCACAACCCTCCTAACAACTTATTGAATATTAACTCCATTATTAATAATATCAACCTTATTACATAATGTAACATCCAGCAGACATTCCTATCCAGCAGGTAGCCAAGATTATTGGTTACCTAGTCTCCTCCTTACCTGGGGTTCAATATGGGGCTCTTCATTATAGGTACCTTGAAATGGATAAAAAAGATGCTCCTAAAAGAGCTAAGAGTAATGACTGTCTCTGAGGATGGCTTGATAGAGTTATGATGGTGGGTCACCGATCTTGAAGAGAGTTTTAGATTTCTTTTCATTCCCCCTATTAATATAACTATATATTCTCTGCCAGGATCATGTTATCTTCTCATTTCAATACCTCTATGAAAATACTTCTATGAAATATGTAAACAGCCCCTAAAAAAACGCAATTTATGTAAACATGCAAGAACATTAATACAGCTCTAAAGCGCAATAGATAAGCACCTCTGGGAATTGAATGAATGAATGGCTCTTAATCCTTCATTTGAAATGCTAAAAGTCATTTTAGCTGAACTATGGTGCAAATCCGAACAATATTAATATTCTTGCATATTTAAGTGTTGCGTTTTTTTGAGACACCCTGTATATTGACATTGATTACATGCAGTGTAGGTTTTAGTGAATGTTTTTGATCGCAAGAAGCGGCGGAAGGCCAGATTAAGAATCAGTCAGAACAAGTTGTGGACGAGCGAAAACAACAAGTCGGTATTGTTATTGAAGACACGGGAATGAAGGTGAGAGAAATATGTGTGTTGATAACCGAGCAGAAGGGGATTATAAAGACGCAGCAAGTAATGCAACAGCAGTTCATTGAGGAGATAAGAGATTGGAAGCGAACACAAACAGAATTATTAGACGAATTAAATGAGAATTCGCGAATGAAGTTTTAACAATTAATCGTCGGTTAAGTGATTTTGAGGCGGATATTTACTGTAGATTTGACAAATTGAGACGAGAGATCATCGAAGAAGGGAAAGTTAAAGTCGAAAAAGCTTTAGATATGTACTCAAGTCTTCTGGCGTCGACGATCGAGGATATGAAACAAGAAATTAAAGCGGAATTTAGCCAAGAGATTAGCAAAGGCATTGATGATAAACTTTCTTGCATACAACTAGTGCCTCAACACCTCAAGTAATCGGGCGCGTGCGAGTAAAACCGGTTGACAACACTTTTGGAGAAATACCAAAGTTATCAAAAACAAGAAAATCGGGCGAGTACAGTTCAAAGAGCGATACATCAATATTGCATGAAGTACATAAACCAACGCAGAGACCAACAACATTTAATTATGATGGCAAAACGTCCTTGGATGCATATAGAACTGACACAATTTGAAATTGTCGCAGAAATATAAATGGCTTGGACGATCGGGAAAAGGCAGCTTTTCTTTCAACCAGTTTGCAGGGGCAAGCAGTAAACGTCTTAAAATATCTGTCAGATTCAAGTAAGCGTGACTACAAAACTCTGTTGCAAGCATTAGATCGCCGTTACGGGACCTTGTGTCAGTCTGAATTAAATCGAGCTACTTTACGAAATCGTTTACGACGTCGCGACGAAAGCCTCCCAGAATTGGCGGGAGACATTGAAAGCTTGCTTCGACTTGCATATCCTAATGGCACGTCAGAAATGCTTGAAGCCTTGGCTGAGGATCATTTTGTGGATGTGGTGCTTGACGACGAGATTCGCTTACGAATTGCGCAGAGCAGACCACTATGAAACTACACTGCGACAGGCCTTGGAAATTGTCTTGGAGTTAGAGTCGTTCGCACTGGCCAGCAAACGACGGTCGTGGTATGTGCGCGAGATCCGAATTGAAAAACCCCGAGACCAAACTCGATAACCAAAACCACTCCGTGGAAGAGTATGATGGATCAACTAAATGAATTGACAAAAGAAATGAGAAATTTCACCGGCAAAATGGGCAGACAGCCAGACATGAATACAAGGTTTAACAGATCAACTTCACCTCCGCGAAAATGCTGAACGTGTCGTGGGAATCACTTGCACAAGGACTGCCCTGATTACCACCGATCAAGAATGAATCAACCCATTAATGAAAACGAAGGGAAAAACTGGGAACAGAGAAATCGACCACTTGAAGGAAATGTCGAAAATCGTCGCCAAGAATTGCGGAATGATCGCAGAAGTGCGTCAACAGAGCGTAATACGCGAATTCAGGGAAACGGAGAGTAGCTGGGTGGGCAAGTTGTCAGGATCCAGCTAATAAACACGCGAAAGAAACGCGCGAAAACCTGCTCATAAGCAACCATAGCGGACAACAAAGTAGTGACGTTGGTGCAAAAGAGAGAGAGAAACTCAATTGATAAACCGCGACAATCTAGTTGCACGAATATGTGATTCTAGAAAGACAGTTTTTGAACAAATGAATAAGGAGGCTTACTAATTTAGCAAGGCTCCCATTAAAACCTATTTATAGTTGGAGCACCGATCGAAAGAATCTGTGTAGACATCAACCGAAATCAGAAGAAGGAAACAAATATCTGCTGGTATGCATGGACTACGTTACCAAATGACTCGAGCGTATCCGATTACTGCATTCGTTTATTCATTCATTCGTTCGTTCATTTGAGCCGAGCTCAAACTCTTGGCTGAGTTAACAACCTCAAGAGACAGTCGAAACTCTCTGCAGAGAAAAACTTCACAAACTACACACACTTAAATTTTGTTAGATTACATCTGATGCCTGTCTGTCGACATGCTGGATTTTGATTTTGAAGAGCGAATGTTGTATTGTAATTATTTTATCCATGTTCTGATATAACACGAGTTTACTCGCAAGGTTTTGATAAGTAATTATTCTGGTGAGAGCTAACTCAACTGATGATGTACAACTCTTTCATTCCTTGTAGATAACTGTGATTTTACGCGTGGTAAATATTGTCATTGGGTCCGTGATAAAAACCAGCGCTACTATTGACAAACAAAGAGAAGATTGAGACAATCCAGGAAGACTGGACCCAGTCGAGACCACACTACAGACTCAGGTATGAAATAAGAGTGATCTCTCATGACCACCATCATTATTATGAATAGTCATTACCTCATTACTCTACATCCTTCCCATCATTGTCCATGATTGTCAATTGTTATCCACCGATGCACAAGATTATCATATTTAATCATACCAACCCATCCAAAATTATACATCAACATCCCTGAACATCAATCATCATTCTCGTCTTCATTATCATGGTTGCGGAGATCTCCGTTGAGATTTTCGTCTTTTGATAGATGTGATCGTGTCGATAAGTTACGAGTTTTCAAATTAGAGGGTTGCTTTCCACATATATATAAGGATTTAGACTTTCACGACTATTCACGTGCGTGTACGTGCGTATTAAAAATGCGTAACTGAAAAGCAGAGTTAAGGGTCCTTATACACAGAGTTTTTGTATTCATTTATTTCAATTTGGCTAAGGTCAGACATAGGCGGCCCAAAATTAGCGGCGAAAACTTTTTCGGCAATTTGTCAATGTAATGTATAATATATATATACATTACATTGAAAAATTGCCGAAAAAGTTTTCGCCGCCAATTTTGGGCCGCCTATGGGTCAGATGTCATAATGGTTATTTACGAGACGTCATCATTCGTTCGTGCTGAGTGAGAAATTAAAAAAAAAGACTTCCCCAAACACGCGGAAAGAGCGTTAGTATTCTTCACCTTGAATTGTTTAGAGTGTCTCGTGAATCTAATAAAATAACTTGAGGTAAAACTTGATGCGTTTTACCAGTCATTTTCATTGTTTTGCTTGGGTTCCCTGTACACTCACTTTTCTCGACATAACAAACGCCCCCATATTGGAATGAATTTACTCTCTAACAAGTAAACAATAAACGTTGAATTCATTCTTGAAATAACTTTAATCGATCATTTTTTACTAAATATGTGATTGATTGTTTCAACTCATAATCATAGAAAAGTCTGATTTTAACTCTTCAAGTGGGAACGTCAAGCCTTGTGTTAGCAACAGTCTGCACCTGATTTACTTTGCTTTAAAATTTGATTGATAGCTCTATTAAAATGAGCAATATTTTAAACCGTGGAAACTAGGCTGGAGACTTCTCAAAGAAAGAAGATGACACAAATCATCAGGATCCCCGCCACGTCCTTTATACGATAAAAACACTTTGAATTTTTGCAAGCATTAGCAAAGATACGTAGATCTCGTTCAAATACACTTTTCTCTGATCCCAGTTCGATATCATGGAAAAGAATATTGTGTTAAGATGATCGTAAGAAACTCTGTGAATGAAGTGACAGGAATATTTGTACAAAAAGCCCGCACTAACATATTGTAGATGAAGAAAGTTAGCGGGATTCCCGCCTGGAAATTTCCATATGGTAAAATTACAGGATGAACATACCACAAGATTGTGAGGAATTCAACGCAAGAATGAATCTGCTTTGACATATTGTCTTGTGTTTAGTCAAAGTTCAGCATCGCTTGGAGTAAAGAAACTCGGTATGTCTTCAATTGTGACAGGTATTCTGAGTTCAACAGTTGGTTTATTATGGAATAAGGTCCGAGACTCGACGGCAGACAAATTCAAAGACGGCGATGTAACCGATGCAGAAATTCGTAAGATTGTCGTACGAGAGTTAAATGATATCAAGTCTAAAATCGATGGCCTTTCCCGATCAACTTTACTCGCCAGTTATAATTTTTTAAAAGAAGGAGTCGAGTTACTCAGTGTTTCTCTTCATAAATCAAATCCCGAGCAGAAAGCGAGCGAAACTCAGGACGAACCAGGTGAACCTTCGAGCGTTATTCAGTCTGGTATCTTAAACCAAGCAATAGAGCTTCCTCGCGCCTTGGAAAAGCTTAAAATCAACTCGGACAGAGAATTTGAAACTGCGAGGGAAAGATTCAAAGATGCGCGCAAGACAGCAACCACTGCTTTCTGCAATGAGGCATTTAGTATCGAAGATCGAATATTTGCCGCGAAGCTACGAATAGTTTCAGAAATACTGGAACATGTCGATAGTCCTGAGACTGCAATCACTGGGTGTTTGACGTTTTTGGAGACCCTTCATAGCTTACCAGCCATTCAAGAGATATTCTCTGTGTATTTGAACGGTGGAATCAAATCGTTGTTGAATAAAACCCAACGAGTGGAGAACGTCAAGTCGGTTATGTTAATCAACTATGTGTTGTTTCAATATGTTTGGAAATTCAGCAGCAAGTATTCGTTTGAAGTGCCCGCCTGCATGCCAACGATTGAACTTCCTGATCGTAGTTTTCACCCAATAAGAAATTGGAAGAAAATTTCAACAAGAAAGTCTATGGGAGAGGAGTTGCCTCATCCTTCCTACGAACAGTTCCTTGATGAAGAAATAATACCCTACCGCTCTGCTGTGAACAGTCAGGGGGATGTTCTTACTGTTCCTGATACTGGGTCTAGTGACGACATCATGATTATCCATGAGGCAGGAAAAATCAAACGGGTTGAAACACCTGAATTTGCAGGTTATTTTTTAGCGTCGCTTGCTGTTGATATGAATAACAATGTTTACGTGGTGAGAGGACGTTCAGGTGAAGTATTCATGTTGACGATATTGGACGAGAATTACAATGTAAAAGCAAATCATACATTGGATTTTCTCAAGGACAAAGATGAGTTCCCTCGAGTTAGAATCGCGATATGCAAAGACGATAATATTATCGTCATCAACGACACAGACACTCTTGTGTATGTTTGTGACAAGACGGGTCAATTGAAATACAAGTTTAAACGTGACTCGAGTTGGACATTTTCATTGAGTATTTCCCAGCAGAATGAAATCATGATACCAGCAGACGATCGTACGGCGGTTCAAATATACACCAAGGAAGGAAATCTGAAAACAACAATAAAAGTCCCAGAAGATCATGAGGTATGGAGCGTCGCATTTCACTACGAAATTTGTAAAATATTGGTTTTAACCTGGGTTTGGGAAAAGGATTCCTATTTCATTCTGCGCTACCTTGAAGCAGACGGGGAGCTGGAGACTCTTACCTTCTTTTGTAAAAATAAAAATGAATATCCTCCCAAACTGGTATCCCATCCCAAGGGGCCTGTTGTTGTTGTAAGAGACAGAAGCATCACTTACCTTTAATTAGATTTAGTATGAACAAACATTTCCTCCATAAAACACAGTAAATACTTGTCTGAAATAGTGCAACTTTGAGTTAACTAAAGCAAACAATAGATACAGCATGGTTTATATAATTTGTGAGACTTTGCTGAATTACGTCCCATTAAAGTGTTCCTGTTTTTGTTGTAAGAGAGACAAGTGTAACTTATATTTAAATAATTTAAATAATAATGTTTTTTGACATTTTCCAACATGGACAATAAGCTTTTAATGACATTTAAAAGTGTATGAATCTTATTTCATATGATATAATATAGTGAAAACTTTCTTTGCCTTGTAATAGATGATCAGGTTCTTAACATAATAAAGATAATCATGTTTCTGTGTGTTAGATAGATATTCAACTTTGTAAATACAGTGTCCCAGGGAAACCCTTCCAGTCGATTTCAAGGCTACAGCCCGGAAGCCTTTTTTAGCCCAACAGGGGAGGGCGATATATCCACCCTAGAACAACTTCCACTAAGGGTTTCATGTCCTCTGCCCCTCTCAGAAAGAAGTCCAAGAACAACTCACATTTTTAAAGTCCCAGCCTCGGGTAAATAGTTTTTCTGCTTTTATCGAGGGCCCATTTAAATTATATAGTAGGTCAAGGGCAGCCTCGTACCCAGGCGTTTTAATAGTAAAATATATAACGTTGCATTCAGTTATTGTGTAGAGGTCAACCGTTACATATTTTACTATTAAAGCGCCTGGGTGCAAGGCTGGGTGAAGGGTGTTTTCCAAGAGGGTCAGTTGTCTTCTTAATATTTTGAATGTGCTAGATTTACTTCAGATGGCTCTATACTTGAAACAGTTTTCGGAGTGAAATTAGACTTCTGAAACTTTTGGTTTGTCATGTCTGCGGCAACAACTACAACAACCGGCTACTCGTTCAGACCATTAACATAATTGAATCCTCTTGGAGAGACAACACTAAATCTTAGCACCAAGTGCATCTGCAGAAATGGTTAAAATTTTGTATGAAGAGGCTCTGTGATATCATCTCCCCTCCCTTACCACGGACGTTAGATTTTCTGTCATCGCTGTTTGACTCGGGTTTGTCCTATCGCTTAATCAACTCGGCGAGGTTTGCTTTATCTTCTATTTTGCAGTTAAGTGATAGTGAAGTCACTTTCGGACAGCTACCTATTGTTTAGCACTTTATGAAAGGTGTATTCGAACTGCGCCCGGCTCTACCGCGTTACCAGACAACATGGGATGTTAGCAAGGTCTTATAGTTTTTTCGAAAGCAGCCTATACCTTCTGCGCTGACTTTGAAGGAGCTTACTGTTAAAGTTTCCTTCTTATTGACCTTACTCAGTGGACAACGCTGTCAAACTATTCATCTTCTCACTGTCGATAGCATGATTCTCGTTGCGGACAAGTGCACTTTCCACGTCATGGAGAAAGTCAAACAGACACGTGTCGGAACTCATGTCAAACCCCTCGAGTTTTTGAAATATCTATTTGAGCCTCAGCTTTGCGTCGTTACTCATCTCTTAGAGTATATCAAGAGAACTGATGAAAATAGCCATGATAGAAAGAAATTGCTACTGAGTTATGTGAAACCGTATGGGCCTGTTTCGAAAGATATTATATCTCGATGGATGAAGTCTGTTTTGGTAGCTGTAGGTTTAAATGTTAGCAAATTTAAAGGTCATAGTGTTCGAACAGCAACTACATCCTTTTTAGTGTCCAATAACTGTAACATTAAGGATATTATGTTATCCGCAGGATGGTCGAATGAACAGACATTTCAACGGTTTTATAATAAACCGAGCGAGGAGGAATTTAATTTTGGCGCTTCGGTGTTAGAGTGCTATACAAACGTTAATTGTTCCTAGGATATATAATATACAATATATATAATATACTTCTCTATATATCGAGATATCTTTCCACTTGGTTTTATCACGCTGGCTATAGTTAGAGTGGTTTTGTTTGTTTATCTCTGCAGGATTTGAATTAAGTCTTGCTGCAAGATTAAAATTTGTTACAGACAGCTTGTTGTCCGGTGTTATTTGATCAATAACAACTTTTTAGGAACAGTTCAACTTTCTTAAATGAATATCACGTCTTTTCAAATAGTCAATGGCGTTGGATTGAGCGAGTAGTCCAGTTTTTCGTCTTGCAGCAAAGATTGTGTTAAGAAAAGGCAAAGATATTGTTTCTCTTCAAACCACGTGGACTGTCCTGAGTCAGAAAGTAAATTTGTTCAACCGCCCGGTGATTTAGACCGAATCTTGTAGTCCCAGGTAGCAGTTTTTTTTTGGAGTAAATATGAGGCAATGACCAATATCATCCAATATCATTCTATACTTTCCAAGCATCCTTGATCTTCGAATGTTTATTTAAAACGGTTTTATTCCTGTGGAAAAACTACTGCTTGTTCACATTCTTACGTGACAAATTTTCATTTAGGTGGAATTTGAGGCAATTCGTGGCCGATCTTTTTATTCTGACATGGCTTTGGATGACATCCATTTCAAGGAAATGCCCTGTGGTAAGTCGCTACACTCTGGGATAAACATGATCAATTTAGTTCATCGATGGTCCTCAAATTAATGTACATCTCTGATTGACTCTGAAACTACTTAAGGGTCTCCGACTGGTTCTTCCGATAGATGAAGGGCCTTTGATAAGACCAACAATGCCTTGATCCTTCAATAAAACATGACTCTCGCGATGGTAGAAATTGGAATAATTTTTTAATGCTAAAAGTGGTTTTGCATTTGAAACATTGATTCAACGAAAATGCGAGTTGGCAAACAAAGGTTAATTTTTCTGCATGAGGGATTTTTTTTGATGAACTATCAATGCTTGGTCAAACGTGAACAAGAGTTTTATGCGATTTAAACAGAGTTGACTGGCCATTGATCAGAATTTAGGACATCAGATAACAACTGACTTTCACTGTAATTTTTTAAATATAAAATTATTAAGTACACATCAATGACTTTAGTGTCCATTAACAAAGATACATATTTAAGTGAACTTTCTACAGTAAAGAGGGGCTCATGTTTTGAAACAAAGATACTTTGTTACAGCAAGCTTATCTTAAACGAGCTTTACAAAAGCTCCTTGTTCAAATGACAATTGTTCGGTTCTTGAAATCAACACGCAAGGCAAACGTCAAACACAGCTCTTCGTATATATTTAGGTATACAACACTTGGGATGTTTTAACGATCGTTATAAAAGAGCTTTGCCAGACTTGATTGCGAATCTCCGGGATAAAATAGACTGGTATGACATGCAAAAGACCGTCAGAGAATGCGCCTGTGTTGCTTATGACAAAGGATACAAGGTATTTATAAAATTATTAAAATACCAGACCAGTGCAAGGCTTTCATGTTTGTCTCAGGCCTCAATAAAGTCAATTATAACTGGACCATCCACAACATGGATATTTTGAACCAATTCCTCTCATATTTACAGTAATAATACTGCATTGCGTTAACCTAATATGAATTTCGCTTCCATTTTTCAATGAATAAGCATTGATTATGTTGTTATTTAGTATTTTGCTGTGCAGTTTTATGGAGAGTGTTGGGGCGCAAGAAGTATGATTGAATATGACAAATATGGTGCTTCCAACGACTGCTGGTCTGGTGTCGGAAAAGATTTCACGAATTATGTTTACAAATTCACGAAATAAGATACGTTTTATGTTCATTCTATATCTTAACTTTCCCAAAATTTTAGGATTAAGCCACTAGTATGTGGGAAGTTGCATGACAAAACTCACAAAGATTGGGAAGAAAAAGACTTGCGTCCGTGCAAATCTATTCTTATAGAGAGTTTACCGTTCAGTATTGTATATATATTTATTTTAATTTTTGAATAGAAACAGCCCACTATTGCGTTTAATGATTAGTTGAAGTGAATAAAAATAATTGACATCTATTAATATTAGCACTGATATCAAAGCGGGTATCATATTTCTAATGCAGACATCACTCTAACACAAACATATCTCTAATACCGACACCTCTCTAATAAAGACACCTCCCTAATAAAGACATCTCTCTAATACAGACATCTCTCTAATACAGGCATCTCTCTAATACAAACATCTCTCTAATACAGACATCTCTCTAATACAGGCATCTCTCTAATATACAAACATCTCTCTAATACAGTTATCTTTCTAATACAGACATCTCTCTAATACAAACGTCTCTCTAATACAGACATCTCTCTAATGCAGACATCTCTCTAATACAAACGTCTCTCTAATACAGACATCTTTCTAATACAGACATCTCTAATACAAATGTCTCTCTATTACAAACATCCCAATCTCTACAATACAGACATTTTAACTTTTGATTGATGTGAACGAGGAAATAGTAATGATGTAATGATGTATGCGTGCTCTTATCTGAACGTCCATAACTTATCTACTTGTTTGCATCTATCAAAAGAGGAAAACTTGGTCGTAATACATGCACTTTCCAATACAAATTCGTCAAGTCAAGACAGGTCGAAATTCATCCCAAGTTATTGACCCGAATTATTAAAAAGAAAAGGCGTGCATTTATTGAGTTCATTGCATCGAGCCAAGCACAAACGAGAACTCTTGGCTGAGTTAAAACTTCAAGCTGACTTCAAAAGACGGTTGACATTACCAGAAAATCATGTATCACCACACTTAAACCTGGACCTAATCACACCTGATTTCTACCAGTCGAGATGCAGAATTTGTAAATGTACGTTCGGTGAACTGTTATTATTTTATCTCTGTTCTGGCATTGCACCAGTTTTCCCACAAGACCTGATAAGTGAGAGGCGAGATTGCTCAACTAATAGTGCTCAAATCTTTCAACCTTTGTAGATAACTTTCATTTCACGCTGGAAATACTGTCAGTGGGTCTGTAAATAAGGATGAAATGCTATTGGTAAACACAAAGGACCATCAGAAACAGGAAAAACTGGTATCAATCAATACCATATTACTGGAACGGGTAAGAAATACAAGTGATTCGTCATCACAATTTCTCATTAAAATCATCACACCAGATATCACCTTTATTCCATTCGTCATAATCGTTATCCATCGTTGTCCATAATTATCCACCGTTATCCATCGATCATACATTATCATACATAGCTATTTGTTGTGGTCCATTATTATCATCCAATGTGTATACATATTAATAATTGTTATCTCTGAACATCAATTATCATCCCATCTTGGTCACCTGTTATTACAGTTTCTATCGTTCCTCTTTATATTAAAACCATTTGCAACGATGCCAAAGATATTTATTATTGCCAGAGCCCAAAATTGTTACAGTCAGCTATATCATCAGT